GCTGATTTCCAACCTAACCTGACATCTATTGCTTGTCTTGGGGCTTGGTATACAAGGGATCAGAATCCTCTTGCAAGTCTGGAAGGTAAAAGTCTCAAAAAATTTGGTTTCCTTCTTTCCTTCCTTCGGCATCACCAGAAAATAAAAGATTGAGATGATTTCCTGAGAGGCAGCGGGAGAGGTACATTACCTATGACCCCACTATTCTAAATCAAAGGAATGATCACAGCGAGGGAGAGGTACATTACCTATGACCCCACTATTCGCTTACAATTTGTCAAGAAAGATCAATAAGATGAACATTAATTGTTCATTGGGATTGATATAAAAGAAAGAAGAGTTGGTATTCAGAGAAGGGGGATAAAGAAAGAAAGGGAACAAGGATGATAATGCCTGAAACTTGTTTAAGTTGAATCCAAGTGTTCCTTGATCGATACTCCCAAGGTAAAGCCTACACCTTTATTTTTATGCATAAATGAATTCAGTAGAAGGGATAGACAGACAAGGAATGTTTAAGTTGATTGGCTAGATGTTGAGGTTGCTAAGCTAGGATATGGTATAATGTACTTCTGTAGTTGATAGGAATAAGATGTGGTTTGCACCAAAGTAAGAGGTTATGATTTTTAAGTTGAGATTTTGATTGAGTCCTTGCTGTTTTTAAACTTCTTTTCAGGACTAACTTGATGTTTGCTTGAAGACAAGCAAAAGGTTAAGTCTGGGGGAGTTGATATACCATGATTTTGACCCGCTTTTGGTCTTATTTTCTATATGTTTTTATTATAATTATCTATCTTTTGGCGTCTATTAGGTATGTTTTCAGTTTCAGGAGCATTTTGCCGTAAAGTGATGATTTAGGTGCCTTATGGAGCTTAAAGGAGTGTTTTACAAGTTGACTATGAAGATCCGACATTGAGAGACACATATCGATCGATACACACCTTGTGTAATCGATCGATGACGATTCCGTAGAAGTTGAAGTCGAGTTACTCCATCGATCGATGTACGCAATGTACCATTGATCGAATACAAAGCGTGATGAGCAAGGTTTACTTAGCCAACTTGACGCCCAAGTTCTCACCAAATTACAAGATGTCCCCTGACGAGTTTTTAACCTAATTGTAGTCTGTATTTATAGCTATGCCTATGAGCCTTAAAAAGAGATGAAGTTTTGAACCAAGTTTTGTATTCTATTTTATACTTAGGAATAAAAGCATTTTCTTTTCATCTTATTCTTTTGCTATGAATCTCTTGGCTATGTCTGAGTAGATTCATATGTTAGATTTGGGGTTCAAATAGTTATGAGGGATTAGCCCCAACTATGGATTGTTGAGTTGTTATATTCATTATCCAAATGAACCCTAATGCTTACTCTAGACTTGCTACCTAGAGTTATGATATGGAGTGACTAATCTAATAGTCATCTTCCTGAAATCATTTGGCCAAACCCAGACTCTATTAAGGCACGATGCGACAGCCGGTCTGATAGAAATTCTCGTGTGAACACAGTTTCAATCCGATCTGATACTTTATATCGATCGATACTCCCTTATAGTTATCGATCGACGACAGCTTATATCGATCGACTCTGCGATAGCAACATCGATCGATGCAGTCGGCAATAATATCAATGAACGAGTCTAACTAGCGACAGCTATAGATTTGTCTAAGGGTTGAAGTTCTCATATATTTGCAAGCAATTCGTTAAGACATCCATAGATTTATAATCCTGATTTTCTTAATAGTAACCTTGAATCTAACTATTTATTTTGATTGTTTTTAAACCAAAACCTATTTTCCTTAGCAACTTACCATTGCTACTTATTTTATTTACTGTTTTAAACCTTTTTCAACCTAGCTTAATCACTTAGGATTATATCTTTTGCGACTCTAGTTCCTTGTGGATTCGATCCCTAAGTACTACGATTGAACCTCTTATTTGAGAGAGTAAATCACTCCTTAGGTTAAACATTTGAGTGACATCAATGACAAATCTGAACGTGCGGCTTCTCCAGAAAATATTCTCAAGGACTTCCTTGATAGTCAAGCGGAAGAAGGTGTCTGGACGAATGCAGGCGGATTGTCGACATTCCATTTTCCGGGCGTTGATCATGATAGAGTCCCGGAGTTTACTAGGGGGTCTGAGCTAGCTAGAGAGGTTCATGCGTTTATTATTTTTTTGAACGATTTTATCCTCGGATGATTTTGCTTACTTCTTTTCTTTGGCAGGGTTTCCTTGTCATGAGCCGGGCCCTAGATAGCGGTAGTGCTGAAGCTCGTCTTGCCGAGTTTCGAGCAGATATGGCCGAAAAAGAAGTTGCTCGTCTTCAGGCGGAGGTTGAGGCTAACCAAGCAGAAGAAAAGGTTGAGATGGAAATAGATCGCTCGAGGGATGAGTGTGCGGCTAGATCTTGCCGCGCCAAGGAGCTTTCCAACCAAAGAATCCGTCGTGCTCGTCGTGCAGGCAAGAGACAGGTTGCTGCTGAGATGAAGGCCCGTCGTGAGCGGTTTGCAGCTGGCTTTTCGGATGCTGAAGTTGCTCTACGGGTGCATGGTAATTATCGCGAATGTCGCGGTGTCGTTCATGGGTTTTCCCTTACTCAGAACGAAGGGTATTCGTTTACTGAGGAATACTCCGCGCGATTGGGGCATGTGGGTCAGAAGAAAGACATGCAGCCCGAACTTTTTGATCTTAGGGCGTGCATGTGGGATCAGTGGAATCCCATTGTGGTGTCGCCGGATTCGGTCGATGTCGGATCTGGGATCTCGGATGTAGAGGGCGAGGTCGATCAGTACGCGTTTGACGACTTCAATGTGTGATGTTATTGCTTTTACGATTTCATTGTTGTTTTTCCGGGACTGGCTGTTGGTGGCTTTGAATCCCTACCGCTGGGCGGTGTGTATTTGAAGACTTTCTCAGAAATATTTTCTAAAGTATGAAATTTTCGTTTCGTTTTTAGATGTAGAGGGAAGAATACGAGTTGTCATCTCACATCTAACTCTTGGTGTAAATGGTCCGATTCGTTAACTCGGAAGGTTTCGATTTTCGCGAGTGTTTAGATGTGGGCGAAGAGACATGCCTTTAGGATCTCGATTCATGCCTGGACACGTTAGCGACCAGTGTTCTGAGTTTAGGGAAAGACCTAGGTTTACTTTCGGATTGAGGCTATGCGATGACTTATACGCGATAGGTTCTCGGCTTATACTATTCGTATGGTTGGAATCGAGCATCTCACCGGGAACAATTTCTAAGTTGCCAGAAGTGCTGACCAAAAATTTGGATTTCTTTTATAGCGCGCTATTTTATCCTAATCGGATGTATGCGGACCAATAGGTCGATGCGTTTGTTTAGGACGGCTAGCGTGCTTGTAGGAACCGAAATTCACACTTGTCGATTTCCGTTAAATAAGGAAACTTAGGAAAACCCTAATTTTCCAGAGGAACCGGATCTCTGCGAAAGTCAACGAGAAGTAAACAAATGCGAAAAATACGAAAAAACGTAAGAAAACGAAGACGCTAGCTAGCTCTACGTTCGGCGAGCTAGCTAGCTCTACGTTCGGCGAGCTCACTTGGTTTGACGGAAAATGAGATCAATGCTTTGATGCCTAAAGATTTTGATTCTTATACTTATTTTATCAAGTTTGAGAAGATCTTTATGACTTCGGCAAATAATCGAGTTTCGCTCTGAAGTTTCGCAGAGATTTTCTAACCGCATGATTGCGACAAGAGATGCCGTATATTCCTCGAGATTATTTCCCAGACGGTTTGGATCAGTCTTTAGCGCTTAGACGATTTTTAGATTGTCGATTGCTTTTGGGATGATTTCGACGAGGCGTTGCATCGTCCGAATATTTTTCCGCCTATTTTAGAAAGCGTTTTCTTGATGCGAGGAAAAATGTTCGGAGAAAGAAGAAAGATGAGTTTTGTTCGAAGGATTGGGATGATCGACAATCCGAGTCGATTAAAGACCATGGTGGATCAGAGATGATTTGGAGTATGTCTGATTTACGAAAACGTCTAGGAGCGAGTCGGTTTTAAGAAAACGTCAGCGTCTCTAGCTCCCTCTTTATTTTAGGAAATGAGTACGTTTGAATGCGTGGTGATCGTTTCTTGGTTGTACGAGAGATTGGATCGGTTTGTGAGTTATGCCTGAATGGTTAGAGAACAACAAATAGATATAGGCAAAATTTGCTTACGACTTATCATGCTACACTATCTTCTAAATTCTAAGTTCTCTAGGTTTTTTGGCAGTTTACAAGACATTTTCGTTTCTTACCTACGAGAAATTAGAAGTCTAATAAACTTTTCGAATCGGACATACCTTAGCTTCATCGATGATTTGGGGTCGTCTATTCTTCGTTCTTCATCTTTTGACCTACCGGTCTTTGACGAATTGCCAGCGAGAGTATCGGAGCGGGGAGAAGACTTAACCATCGGAGCTCGTGTTCTTGTTTCTTCGTACTGCTGGTTTTATTTGACTGACTAGGTGTGCTTTGTATATCGAAAAAATCAATCACGTGTTTATGATTGGATGTTTTCGACTTAGTGTCACTACAAGAAATATGTACATTCTTAGCTCATGAAAAATGCTATAATAGAGCTTTCATAGTGTTTTCTGTTCTGCTATGTCATCGGCAGCCATCATAGATACCCCCTCTACGATAGCAATACTTGGATGATATTATTAACTTAAGTATAACATTAGTTTTGTACAATGATAGGTTCTAAATTAAACCAAAAATAATTATAATTAAAAATAAATTGAAACTAAATCGAAAATTTGTTTTATAACTAAAAAAAATTAAATTTTATTTATACATTAATATTGGTTTACAAATAAATTTTGGTTTACAAAACTAAACCATAAATTAAACTCAAACCACCATAGTTTCTCCAATTTGGTTTACACTAAACCAAACCTAAAAAAACTAAACCTAAAAACTAACTCCAGCCGCCATAGCTTCTTCTTCTTCTTCTTCCACAGGTTTTCAACCACTATCCCGTCAAGGTTTTCTTCCACCACCGTAGTGGTGATGAGAAGCGCGTCGGTGGTGGTGCTGGTAAGGACGGAAACGAGCTAGAGACCGGCCATCACGTTTTCTTCCTTCTCTGCATCTCCGAGCTCTATCTCTTCTCTCTGTTCCATCACTTCGCTTGGTCTCCGCCGTACCACCATGGCCAGTGTCCGCCACTTTGCTTGGTCTCTGTCGCACGCCTTGCCTTTTCAAACCCTAATACAAACAAAACGGGTTAATAACAGAGAGAGAGAGAGAGAGGCAGAGAGAGATAGAGAGGTCTAACCGTTGTGGTAGTGGTAGTGGTAGTGGTGGAGTCGGACAGAGATGGTGGTGACGAGGGAGGGTGGTGAGGAGCGACGGTTGTGAGGTACAAAAAAAATGGGTTAATAACAGAGAGGGAGAGAGAGAGAGAGAGAGAGAGAGAGAGAGAGAGAGGCAGAGAGAGACAGAGAGGTTAAACCGTTGTGGTAGTGGTGGTGGAGTCGGACCGCGATGGTGGTGACGAGGGAGGGTTATAAGAAGGTCATGAGAGAATGAGAAGTTTAGTTTGAGATCTGAAGAAAAAGATTTCAAAGGTCGTGAGAAGGAGAAGAAAGAGATACTGAAAAATAAGTGAATAATTATATCCATTAGGTTAAGATGTATCAATGGTGGAGATTATTATTTTAGGTATCCTCACATTATGAACTGGTTTCTCCCATTGGTCAAGCATAATAATATTTTTCTAACTTAAGTATTCAAAAGTGTTTTTACAAAAAACAAAAAAGTTATCTTCTTTATTTTATCCTATTGGCGAAATTAGTTCCCGCTTATTGATATCATAGCATTTACTCTATCATATCATTTATCTAATGCTATTATACAATACGTAATTTTTTAAGTCATCTACCATAGCATTTCAGTAAAACGTGCTATAATAATATGCTATCAATGTAGACTTTTTTTGTAGTGTGTGGCAGAGTTTCGTAAAATCGGATTAGGTTTAGAGAGTTCAGATTTCTCGTATAGTTTAGACAACTTTGGTGTTAAGTCAACCGTTGCCATTTTAGACGATTGATTCGAACTTATACGAAGAAACAAGTCTTTGCGGTTTTATCGTAAAATCCCGATGGAAATTCCGGTTCAGACGAAACGAGAATCAGCGCGATCAAGACTTCGAGAGAACTCGAGGATTGGTTCAGCTCGACGTAAGGCAAGTCGGGTGAACCCTTTC